CAGCCAGGTATCTACAGAGGTGACAGCCAGCAGGGAGCGTATACATGCCGTGAAGGAGAATCTGAGTGCCTGCAAGCGATTGCTCCAATGCCGACGGGATGAGCTTAAGAAGATGTGGACAGACGCAGTTCAGCACAAGTACGTGCTGGAAATGTTGGAGCAAATGTAAGATTATTCGCTTACAGACTCGACGGATTTAATGTCATTCATTTACTTTTAGTCAGGAGCTACGAAAGGTCCCTCAGCGTGTGGTTAGCTACACCGCCAAGCGTCAGTATTTGCATGCCAGCAAGGCGTTAACAGATGCACTAGCCACGCTTAATGGACCTCTGCAGGCCGTCGATGGCCTCTCCGACTTGCGGGCAGATCTGCAGACGCGTCGTCAGCAGCTTTATCAGCGACTGCACGAGGAGCTGGTCACCCAGGTCTACACGATTTCGGCCAATGAAGCGTTCTCCTCGTTTCAGCGTACCAATTCCAGCCGCCTTAACTCTAGCTTCATTCGGGGAATAGGAGCTCGCCGCTCAACAGATCGCATTGAAGCTAATGCTCGTGTTCGCAAAGCCCTTTCCGAAATGGCCCAGTGCTTTGATCTAGAAAAGGCCGAAATTATCGAAGATGCAGATCTTATATACCCGGAGTTAAGCATGAGCTACTTCGTTGCCATTATCGTGGAGTCATTTGGCATGCTGCACAAGGTGCCCGATTCCCTGGAGACGCTGCGAGTTCAAATACAAACGGAGCTGCTCAACGTGGTGCGCCACACAACGCACCAGTTATCGCTGTCTGCAGGAGCTGGTGATTCCAACCCGCTGCTCATGCTGCTGGAGATCATTTTCAAGCAGTTTAAGGCCATTGCCAAGACGCATACGCTGCTACTAAAAAACTATTTGTCTGTGGGCCAGAAATATTCAGTAGTTGGGCCGCAGCCCTACGATCTAACAGACTTTTGGTCGCAGGCTCAGTCAGTGGTTAGTACTCGCTCGATAAATGTAATGTAATTTCATTCTAACTTGTGAAAACTCGTTTTATATTTACAGCTGCAACTGCTGCTCACCGACTATTTGGATATACAGAATGGAGCATCGGACGAGAGTGCCCAGACAGGGTTTACGGAGCCAACCAGCAATATAAACTCATTCTTCCTAAGGCGTAAGGTTCCAAGGTGTGTGTTTGAACAAGAATTTCAGTTAAACGATTAATATGTTCTAATCTATCGGTGCGTTCCACTTGTTCGACAGCACAAAGAGATCAATGTTCAAATTTGACAAGTCCTCGCACGTAGGCAATGGTCCTCGTAGCAGCAATGAACCATTAAAGGAGCATCGTCGCAACGCCTCGGATGCGTCGGTAGATGATAATCTGTCCGCTCAACTGGGTGGCAGCGGCAAGGGCTCCAACAGTGGGCTCTTCCCCCACGAGAAGAAGCAGCGGGAAAAGCTGTTGATCTGCACTCCCGATCAGAACATTATAACCAAAGTCTACTTACCTTTAATGGGATATATCAAGGAGATAGAAAACTTTATGAAGTGCAAGCCGGGGTAGGGTGTACACACCGCACCGTAAAAAAGTTCGATGTTTTTACCACCTTTGCCTTACTTCTAGCCAACCGTGCAGTCTTCATGACTTTGTGGACAACTATATAAAGGATTCGTTCCTGTCTAAGGGCCACAACCGAAACTTGCAGCTGACCATCGAATCGTTGTCGAAAAATCAAGACGCCTGGCGGACAATCATCACTCCGGAGGAAATGAAGTCGCTTAACTTGAGTAGACCTCTCTTGCAGTCCACTGTGATGGTCGAACGGCGGCTTATGGAGACGAAAAGCCTCATCCATGACTTGCCCTGTTACTCGGAAGACCTGCTCAAGATGGTGTGTGCGTTGTTGAAGGCGTATCGGGAGATATGCCAGGGCGCCTACAGAGGGATCGTGCAGCCAGACTCAGAGGATCGGAGAATCTACAGCGTCGCATGGCTCAAAGACGAAGACATAAGCCGATTCTTAAAGTAATTATGGGATGAAACTAAGACTAGGATAAGATTTGGTACAATGATGCAACTGATTACTCTTCTTTCAGGACACTACCCAACTGGACGGACCTCAAAACCTCCAGTCAAAGGTCGCGGTACAATCGAAAGCTGCAGCGGGGAAGCTTTGAGCCCTCAGAGGAGGAGAGTCCCCTGCAGGTGCAGCAGCGAAATATTCGTGAGGCAGAAATGCTAACCAGTAATTTGGGCGAGGGTGGCATCACACAACAGGAGATTTTGGTCGAGATCAGCGTGCTAAAGGAGCTGGCCATACTTCAAGAGAGTATGGAATGGTTTTCCTGCCGCGTTTCAGAGTTCGCCAACGATCTACGTCGGCCGATGGTAAACGGATTGAACGCCGTCTCGGCTGAGTGCACCGCCGACATAACCGTCAAGGATGGGACGATCAAAGTGATGACCAACTTGGCTCTGGAGTTCGATGAGCTAGCAAACACATGTCTGCTTGTGCTTCATTTGGAGGTTCGGGTCCAATGCTTCCATTACTTGCGTTCAAAGTCCAGTGTAAGAACAAACAGCTACGTTGGTTCCAAAGACGACATTCTTGAGCCGGATCGTCAAGTGCAGGTACTAACCAAACGACTGTCCGAGATGGATGAAGCCTTCAGTGCCACTCTTCATCCGCGAAAAACCAGGGTATGCTCCTCAACTCCCCCCTTGAGTTCATATCTATCTAATCCATTATCTTTTAGTACATTTTTGAGGGTCTGGCACATCTGGCGTCGCGCATACTTATCCAAGCATCAAACTACTTGGAACACATTGACCAAATCACCGTGCAACGCATGTGCAGAAACTCGATTGCCCTGCAACAAACGTTAAGCAACATAACCGCATCCAGGGAAGTGGCTTTGGATCAGGCTAAGAATTTCTACGAGCTCCTCTGCATGGATCCAGACGTAAGTGAGAGATATATAAGCTGAGACCCGGTGGCTAAACATTTGTACTTGATCCAGGAAATACTGAATGCGTTGCTGGAACGTGGCACACAGTTTTCGGAGATGCAGTTGCTCAATGCCATGCACTTGTCCTGCAAGGCCTGCAGCATAACCGACGCCAATTTATTGGCTTCCTATCAGCAAAAGCTTTCGGATATTCTGGGCGCCAAGCCCTCCAAAGGTGTGGTTGTATAATGTTCGTTTAAAACAAAAAAACACAAATTTTAATATGTTTAAGGGTGGATACCATGCACACACACATTGGCGGTAGTGTAAGTGCAAAATGTATGTTAGTCTTAAACTAAAAATGATTATGAATGTTTTGAACATGTTAGCACTTGGTGTTGCGATGCAGTCGTTTCTGTGTATTTACATATTCTAGAATTCATTAACGATATTTTAACGGCTTATACACAATAAATGAAATATTAACAACGAGGTGTCTGGCGGCTACTATATAGTTGTCAATGTACTGATTTCTTTGTTGAGATTTTCATACCCAAAAAGTGCGTAATAATGGTTCACCCTGGAATTCTCTCGAGTAAAAGATCAGGCTCTATAATAACAGTCGGTATATTAGATTTGCGGTGAAAGTGGATATGTGTAACACCCAGAAGAAAGCGTTTACAACCGCATAAAATATATAAATTCTTGATCAGCATTAATAGCCGAGTCAATAGAGCCATGTCTGACGGTCCGTCGGTCGGATCAGCTGGAAACAAAAATGGAACGTTTTTGTTGAAAGCGCAAAACGCAAAAGTAAGTGAAAACCGGAGCCTATTGATTCAATAACTTGCTGCGAAGAGATAGCATGATAGACATAACGCTAAATTAGTGCTCGTAGACGTCTCTAAATAGGTCTTCCAGCTATCAGTCAAATAACCTAAAGAACTATTTGGGACAAAATGATGTTTTCGCCAGCAATATTGATGTACACCACATTTCACAGCTTTAACTGATAAGCCAACTGATAAGATGCATACATATATATTTTTCGTCCTTACTGCATGCTTTTCCTCTCTCCCCAGGGCATACACTGGATGTTATAGAATTGAGAAAATGTTTGTCATCCTAGGCTCCAATTAATGCAAAAACAATTTAGTCTCAGTATTAAATATCACGATGATTTTTTGCAGTTTATTGTCTTCCTACAGAGACCAAGAATATGTATAAGAAGATATATATATATATACAAGATAAAATAATATGCATAAATATGTCTAAAAAATATCAATTTGAGAAAATTTCTTTATTAATTTCGGTATAAAAATTGTTCGGATAACAGGATCTTCATATTAAATTAATGAAATAGGGTATACAAAGGCCTTACAAAGGGTATACATTGCGACTGTTGTTTATTTTTTGTTGAACTATTTTAAATAAGCCAGTTTAGTAGAAAATTGATTCATTAATCGGATAAAATTATGTGGGAATGGCAAAATGTTTTATTTAGCTAATATTCGACGGAATATCCAAATTGAACAATAGGAACGACTATCCTCTTTCGCTTTTTTTGTTTGACCTTTTCGCTAAAACCTTTTTTTAAGCAAAATGCATTTCAATTAGAAAATAGATTCACTAATCGGCTCAAATTATGTGGGCATGGCCAAATGTTCTATATAGCTAGTAATATTCGACGGAATAAAGATTTGAGGATACTCGTTTGTTTATGCTACTGTTGTATGAGCAAAAGTGCCTTGTGCGTCTGTCTACAGTGGCTTCAAATAACAGTAAGTCCTGATGTCACAGGGCACTCCCAAAAACAGCCGCTGATCCTCGGCTATTCCGTGCTTTCCACCTTCTTCGCATTTACAGTAAAAGTCGAGCCACAGAGTGCCGAAACGACGAATCCCGCGTCATGCGATAGTATCGATAACGCCTCGCATGTAATTTTCATTTGTCCCAAGTACAACACAACAAGGCAAAACTTCCCATCTCTAAGGAAGTATAATGATATTTACAAATTCTTTGAAAAAGAAAACATCAGCGCGTACCAAACAATAATTGACTTCATCGACGAAATTGATGTAAAGCTATAAACAGTAATCCAACATCTTCAATTCTTTCACTTGGCAATTTCCACCTTCAAAAGGCGGGCGGCCAAATAATCCCACGCTACGCACGGGTGAATGGTAACTTAAACACCTAAAAAAAAAAAAAAAATAAAAAAAAAAATATCTTCAAATGCCGGAACAAGTGGAAAATTCAGAAGTGAAATCGCCGACCTATGATATTTCAAAGTTCCGACTTAAGCGGATACTCCAGAACAACAGTGTTCGAAAGAGTATTGCATTGCTGGGCACCTTCCCGGATCTCTCCGAGACAGACGATGCCATTGTGGTTTTTGAGAAAACTGGTGTGTTTAAAATGGTAAATGACGCGGTTCTGAAATGTGTTTTACTATCAATTTTTATTCTCTGCAGCGTATCAGGAGAGCGACGTGTCCACGTCCAAAGAGCTACCGGCAAAGCCAAGTTACTTTAGCGCGGAGTTAAAGGTAGACACGGAGTTCATTAATAACATATACGGCAGTTTTCAGGTTGTGCCCAGTCCGGATCTATGCGGCAAGTGGAAATCGGTCGCCTTTGCTGCTCACGTAATCAACATTTTCCCATTTTATAGGTGTTAAGAGCACAGTGATTTACCCGGCCACTGACAAGCACGTCGAGAAGTATTCCATATGCCAGAAGTATCTCATTAGAGAAACGCCAGATCTCTACGAAAGCACAACGCTTCCGTACATCAACCTGAGCCAATTCTCTCTGGAATGGGTCTACAACATACTGGAACACAAGAAGGAAACCGAGAGAATCGTATTTGAGGATAACGATCCAGAAACCGGCTTCATTCTGCTGCCAGATCTAAAATGGGATGGTCGGAATGTAGAAAACCTCTACCTGCTCGGTATAGTTCACAAACACAATATTAAATCCCTTCGTGATCTGAATGGCAACCACCTGCCGCTGCTGCGGAATATGCGCCAGTCCGCTAAGGATGCCATCTCGAAACGATATGGCCTCAATCCCCACCAGCTCCGCATGTATTTCCACTATCAGCCCTCGTTCTACCATCTGCATGTGCACATTAATCCCATTAGGAACGATGCCCCAGGCATTTGGTGCGAGAAATCTCACATGTTGGACACTGTAATAAGCAACTTGGAGCTTTTGCCAGACTTTTACCAGCGCGCCACTTTACCCTTCGTCTTGTATGAGGGTAATAAGCTATTGGATTTGTATGAGGAGAAGATAACCGTTCGCAGTGTAGCAGCACCGATAAGTGACTCGAAAGAGCTGGAAAAAGTACCTGCGGTGGAATCATCTATCGAAGGTTTTAGTGATGATGACCCAGGAGAGAGGGAATGCAAACGCCTAAAGTTGGCCACACCAGAGCCAAAGGAGGCCGAGGTACCTGCCCAAGCGTGTGCATAGGCTTAAATCAAGCAATCCCACGAAATACGAGCAAAATAAACGATTTCTTCGGAAGTACATACCACTTTAATCGTTACCTATTACGGGTACGCTATTAACTTATCTGCAAAAGAAATCTAATGTTTTATCTATCAAAATAGTCTAGTTTTTATACTTTATTTAAAGCAAAATAAAAAAAAACTATTCCATTTTTGGGTCACTTGCTCACTTCCTGGATTGTATAATAATTTTTCTGGAGAATTTATTCTGCTACTGATCAAGACGTGGAATAGCCGAATGGAATTATTCATCTATCTCAAGTCAATTGACTTACTTTGAGTACATATATTTAACGCTTCGGTTGCTGTGCATCGCTAGTCGAATCTCAAGCGCACTGTCTTAACTAGGCCACCTACGCTACTAAGCAAGCTCTAAGCTTCGGCCATCTGGTCTGTTCATCATAACACATAAACGAACTGGCTAGCTAATCAAGTCCAATTGCCAGCTCGATTAATTGAAATGAAATGCTCGCGAAACATGTCTAGAGTTAGTCAGCTGTTTGCCTTCTTTATTTATCAATAGTGTAGCTATGTCTGTTGTGTATTGTTCTTTTATGCTCTGCCTGTGTTATATATTTTGTTTTTTTATTTCAATAATTTATTTAATATTTTTTGTGGCCTTGCGTATTTGATCATATTTGTAATACAGTTAAATACACGCCACTGCTTTTAGATTTGTTCTCGTCTCGGCGTGGCTAAACTATCAAATTTTATGTTATTCTAGATGTCATCATATTGGCGCCAAGGCGCTCTTTTGAAACGTGGGGGTTTCGTTATTTTTCTGGATTTAGTTTTCGACTTGCGTTGTGTTTAGCTTTGAGAACTGCGAATTCGATTCGAGTTCGCTCCTTTGAGCGGAGCTATGCTAAGCGAATGCTTGGATATTTTAAGCTCGTTAGCTGCTGCGTGTCGTAAGTGTCATGTGTGTGGGCGTGTCTCGAAATCATCAGCATGGAAGCCTGGTTCAACATCTTTTATGGTACATACATACATAAATATTATTTCGAATACATACATACATATACATATATAGGTATAGGTATATATATAAAAATAACAAATAATCGTAGTAATAAAATCGTAATGTGTAATTTCCCAATACATATAATAAAAACAATACGATAAGCGCCGGCTTGCCCTGAATACTAATCATATGCTCTCTTTCAATTGCTCGTCGTGCCCGATTGATCAACGTCCGCATCCTGCTGCTGCTGTTGGTATTGCTGCTGATCCTGTGGCACGTACATCATAGCAGTTGCTGGCGAGGACATGCTGCTCCCCATTGTCTTATCCGCATCGGAAATTGACCAGTTACGCTCCAGCTGCTCCAGTGCCGCCATGGTGGCTGTCGTGGTCACCCCAGCTCCCGAGCTTTCGGCACCAGCTCCATCGCTCATAACGCCAGCCTTCAACGTCTCCTCCAGTAGAACCTCAATTTTGTCTTGGTCGTCGAGATGAACAAAGCCGAGACGAACCAGTTCGCTGGTGAGATCAGCCGCCGTATCATTCTCGTTTACTTGACACGTCAGCTGGCGATTCATTTTGTCATCCATGCGTAGAAGTATTGTCATTATTATGTCATTGCTGTCCTCCTTTATCTTCACGCTGCACATCATGTTGACAATGCGACGCGACTCCGTGTCCACCGGCTCTGGGGTTGCAGACTTAACAGAGTCGGCCCGTTCCGGCGAGGCTGCCCGTGAACGAAAGTTGGGCGGCTTTTTGCCGTTGTAGGTGATCAGCGGATATACCCCATACTTGACGTCCTCAACAAACTTCTCCAGCTTGTCTGCTCCGGCTACATCGGCCAGTCGGTACTGACGTTCCTGTCCGCCAGACATCAGCTGGGCCATTATCACATCTGGCTGATAGTAGCGCTGCATCAGTCCGTCGAATGCAGTCTCTGAGAACATGGTGCGGTTGGCGGGTGAGAAGACCAGACAGTGGGCGGTCAGAAGTTTGAGAGAATGAACCTGCAAAGGTCAAAGTTGGGATGAATCTGATGGACTGACCACACAGTAAGCAAGCACCACAGTAAGCATGCCACAGAACTCACCTCAAAAAGCAGTGGATGAAATAGCAGATCGTTTGCGCTGGGCCGGTCCTGGGGATGGGGGTTGAGACACTTCTCTATCAGATCCCTTTGCAGATCGCTTTCTAGGCTGCAGATTGTGCGCTGTATGGTCTCTTCGTTGATGGCAGTCGATTCGCTGTTGCTGGGCTGAATTTCGAGAGCTGCCATCTCCAGGGCGCACATGCCGAAAGCATAGATGTCTAGGGCGGCAGTCAGCTGCTCGGCGGCTCCATACTCCGGCGCCTGGAAATAGTGAGCGCCTCGCTCACGCTCCTGCTCTCGACCGCTTTCGCGGTCCCACTGCCGGCGAACGCTGTAGTGAACAGCGTCGGGCACCACGGAGCCGATCTTGACCAGACCATTGTGCTGGATGAAAATGCTATCACAGGTTAAATTTCCATGGATGATGGGCGGCGTGCAGGAATGCAAATAGCTGAGCGCGGACAGGATCTGAGTACACCAGCGTCGCCACGACTCCAGCGGCAATCGCTTGGCGTTGCGCTTGGTGCGTTTGAGGAACTGTTTTAGAGACCCGGATGACATGTACTCCGTAATGAAAATCACCCTCGGCCTCTCCGCCTGTTGCGTGTCCGTCCAGTAGCGATGGAACTTGACGATATTCTGATGATCCAGCTGCAGTAGATTGTCAAAGACCTGACGCATCTTTTCCTCCTGAGACTTAAGCTCCTGCATATTGGCATATTGCACCTCATTCCAAACGACCTCGACACCCTCCTCCGTGTCCATGGCCAGATGGACACAATCAATCCCGGGCACATCCCGCTGGTCGACCTCCTCGCGCCGCTTCAGCCACCGACCGCACGGCGACTCTTCCAGAATCTCGCTCTCATCCTCTGAATCGTCGCCGGATTCCCTAGGCGATGAATCCAAATTGACTCCCTCGCTTCCCCCTGCGACGACCACACCAACCCCGCCACCAGCATCAGCTGTTGAAGCTCCCACTATGTGAGGTGGTGGCTGCGGCTGCGACTGCTGTTGCTGCTGCTGGGGAATTGTTGACGCTGGCGTTGCTTGAGAGGATGCATTCGTTGTCGTCAGGTTGGGGACCAACGTGGCCGATCCCGACGGGTTCAGGGTCGGTTCATCCGCGCTACCGCTGCTGCCGGCATTCGCTTGACTATTTGACATTAGGGTGCGGTCACCGATGCTGCTGCTGCTGCCTGCTGCTACTGCTGCTTTCCACCTCAACAAACCTTCAGTTTCGCGGCCCAATGTTTGTTTTCTCTCGCTCTCTTCGCTCTTCGGATTCGTCGATGTCGTCTATGTTTGCTTTTCGTGGTATCCGCGGTGCCTGTGCTCCAAACTACATCCGCTGCTACTCCACAGCCGCCACCTCTGCCCACTCACAAGCACACACATACACACAGGCACGCGCGCACACACACACACACACCTCCCTCTACGCCTCCCCGTTGTTCAATAACACTCTGCGTTTCGGCTGCGGATGTTGGCTGCCAATGAGCTGCGGCTGCTGGGGCGTTTTTCGGGCTCCTAGCGTCTTCGATTGCTTTATTTTTCAACTGCAGCGCGGACGTCAATCAATTTACTGCACTTATTTGCTGACACGCGGCCGTTTGGTTTATTTAGGCGTTTTTTCACGCTTTTTAAAACACACAAAAAATGTGAGTAAATCGATGCAATCGAGACTATCGATACTCACCCATCCGCTCATCAGTGATGCCAACTAATAAAAGCAAGAAGCTAATTTTCATTAAATGTCTATTATATTGTCTGTCGACACATTCGTCATTCGTATCGGGCTTATAGTCATATAGGTATTGGGCCTTAAAATATAGTACCACACAGTTGGAGAACAAAATATATGTTTTAAAAAGCAGATTTTAGGCTACAGATTTCCCATTTGTCTAGCAATCAAATATCTGAATAGCAAACTGCTATAAAATAGCTGAGTTCGCAGCACTGCCGCTCATCGATACATCTCTTGGAACTTACGCAAATGTGAGCAGTGCACTATCGATATAATTCTATCTTTTTGTGTCATCTGTGCCGAAAGGGTCGATCAAATAAATACATTTAACACTAAGTTTAAACGAATTAATTATTATATTTCAAAATGGACAGTATAATTGGGCGCAGTCAGTTTGTCTCAGAAACCGCCAATCTATTCACAGATGAAAAAACAGCCAACGCACGAGCCAAGGTAATGTACTGTTCACTACGCCGACGGCGCTTCTAATTTACATTGTTCTCTATGTTTGTATATCCAGGTGGTTGAGTGGTGCAACGAGTTGGCTGCGGCTCCGGCTACAACAAAATGCGAGCTACTGGTGAAAGTGCAGGAAACCGTTTTAAGCTCCTGCGTGGAACTAGCCGAAGAGTTCCTGGAGCCAGTTCTGTCGTTGGCACATGATCAGAACATGGACGTGAGAAAGCAAGTGGTTTGCTTTGTGGAGCAAGTTTGGTAACTATCGCCCGCTCAAGCAAGACATCATAATAGTGGTCCATTATAATATCTGACTTACAGCAAGGTGAAAGTGGAGCTGCTTCCATACGTGATCAATATCATCTCCATGCTGCTGAGAGACAGTTCCGCGCAAGTCATCAAACGTGTGATCCAGGCCTGTGGTAGCATATACAAAAATGGCCTGCAGTACTTATGCAGTCTCACAGATCCCAGTGACAGCGCCGAGCAGGCATGGAATATCCTTAGCTTGATCAAGGCTCAGATTTTGGACTTGATTGACAACGAAAACGATGGCATACGTACCAATGCTATTAAGTTCCTAGAGGGCATTATAGTCCTGCAGAGCTTTGCCGACGAGGACAGCCTCAAGCGGGAAGGCGACTTCTCCCTAGTAGACGTTCCCGAAAATTGCAAGCTCATCCGCGCTCAAAAATTGCAGGAGGAGGGTACCAACATATTCGACATCATGCTGCAGTTCCACGGCACAACGCACATATCTTCTGTGAATCTGATTGCTTGTACCAGCAGCCTGTGTACAGTGGCCAAAATGCGACCCGTTTTCATGGGAGCTGTGGTGGAGGCCTTCAAGCAGCTCAATGCAAATCTTCCGCCCACGCTCACCGACTCCCAGGTGAGCTCAGTCCGCAAGAGCCTCAAGATGCAGCTACAGACGCTGCTGAAGAACAAAGGTGCCTACGAGTTCTCTGCCACGATACGAGGCATGCTTATGGACTTGGGTTCCACGTCCAATGAGATACAGAAACTAATACCCAAGATGGATAAGCAGGAAACGGCTCGACGGCAAAAGCGCATTTTAGAAAACGCTGCCCAGAGTCTGGCGAAAAAAGCGCGGATCGCCAGCGAGCAGCGTGAGCAGGAGACGCGGGAACTGGAACTCGACGAGGAAGAGCTAGAGCGCCAGCGACAGAAGTCCACCCGGGTCAACGAAAAATTCCTGGCCGAACATTTCCGCGCTCCAGAGGTGGTGGTCAGCTTGGTAGTGGAGTTTCTGCCTGGACTGCCAGTGGAGGTCCCTCAAAAGTTTCTCACCGAGTATACGCCCATCAAACAAATGTCTCTGCAGCAGCAGGTCAGCAACATATCGCGGATCTTTGGTGAGCAGCTTACAGAAAATCGCCTGGGTCCAGGCGCTGCTACCTTTAGCAAGGAGCCACCCATGAGAGCCAAGAAGAGTCGAGAAGTATCTACTACCTCTGAAGCTCCTCAGGTCACACCAATGGACGTGGATGAAGAATCGGATCGCAAGTTGAGCGAGGAAGAGCTGCAGCGCAAGGAAGAGGCCACGAAGAAGCTGCGCGAGACCATGGAAAGGGCAAAGGGCGAACAGACTGTCATTGAGCGGATGAAAGAGCGCGCCAAGACGCTGAAGCTGCAGGAGATTACCAAACCCCTTCCCCGCAACGTAAAGGAAAAGTTCCTGGTTGATGCAGTCAAGCGAATACTGAACTCGGAACGGCAGTGCGTCAAGGGGGGAGTGTCTTCCAAGCGCCGCAAGCTGGTAACTGTCATAGCGGCCACATTTCCAGATAATGTGCGATACGGAATCATGGAGTTTATTCTAGAGGATGTCAAACAGCGCATAGATCTTGCCTTCTCCTGGCTCTTCGAGGAGTACTCCCTGCTGCAGGGCTTTACCAGGCACACCTATGTCAAGAGAGAGAATCGCCCAGATCATGCCTACAATGAGCTGTTAAATCAGCTCATTTTCGGAATTGGCGAGCGCTGTGAGCATAAGGAGAAGATCATTCTCCTCCGCCGTGTGTATCTGGAGGCGCCAATCTTACCAGAAGATGTCGTGGGGGACCTGGTCCAGCTAAGTCTGGTCGATGAGTTTTCACAGCATGGTCTGGATCTGATCAAAGATCTGGCCGTACTAAGGCCTCCGCGAAAAAACCGATTTGTACGAATTCTACTCAATTTTTCTGTACACGAACGTGCTGATCTGCGGGACCGTTCTCTGAGCCACTTGGTCAACCTATACCATGTGCAAAAGATTCTGCCAGCACGGATCGATGAGTTTGCTCTAGAATGGCTACAATTTCTTGAGCAGGAGAGGCCCCCGTCCTCTATTTTCTCACAGGACTTTGGCAGGCCCACCGCCGAGACAGACTGGCGCGAGGACACCACCAAGGTGTGTCTGGGCCTGGCTCTCACGCTGTTGCCCTACAAACCGGAAGGTAAGTGAGGATTTCAAACAATTAGTTCAAAATAAGCATATACAGTGAATCACGTTCTCGTTATCGTTCCTCTTATTATAGTTTACGTTGAAAAAGTATGCCAAGTTTTTGTGACCACTTCCGCGGAGCTGAAACGCACGATCTTGCGCAGTCTGGACATTCCCATAAAGAAGCTTGGTGTGGAGAATCCTACCCTTCTGCAGTTAATAGAGGACTGCCCAAAGGGAATGGAAACCCTTGTGATCCGCATCATCTATATACTAACAGAGCGGGTGCCGACACCACCTGTGGATCTGGTGCGACGAGTGCGGGACCTTTACCAGAAAAGGTTGCAGGACGTGCGTGTTATGATACCCGTGCTGAGTGGTTTGTCCCGCTCTGAACTGATCAGCGTGTTGCCCAAACTGATCAAATTGAATCCTGCCGTTGTCAAGGAGGTGTTCAATCGGCTGCTCGGAATTGGGGCCGAGTTTGCCCATCAGACGATGGCTCTGTCGCCCACTGATCTCCTGGTGGCCCTTCACACCATCGATACGAATGTTTGTGATCTAAAGTCCATAGTAAAGGCTACGTCACTATGTCTGGGCGAGCGGGAGTTGTACACGCAGGAGGTACTCATGGCCGTCCTTCAGCAACTAGTGGAAGTTGTTCCATTGCCAACCCTGATGATGCGAACAACGATCCAGAGTCTAACGCTCTATCCGCGACTATCTAACTTTTTGCTGAATCTACTGCAGAGGTTAATAATGAAGCAGGTTTGGCGACAGAAGGTCATCTGGGAGGGGTTCCTCAAGACGGTGCAGCGCCTTAAGCCACAGTCGCTGCCGATTCTATTAAACCTTCCGCCAGCGCAACTTCAGGACGCGCTCCAGCAGTGCCCAGACCTGCGCCCTGCTTTGCTAGAGTATGCAGAGAGCGTGCAGGATGAACCGATGAATGGTAGTGGGATTACACAGCAGATCATGGACATCATCTCAGGAAAGGCGGTAGATGTCTTCATCACGGTAAAGAGTATTTTTCTCCTTTCATAAAGATTTCTTTAATAATCTGTATTCGCAGGACGAAAGTGGCGGCTACATGTCTGCGGATCAGATTAAAAAAGAGGTGCAGGACCCCTCAGACATCTGCGTGATTTCCACAGTTCCCGTGCTGACATCTCTGACGCCCTTGCCTGTTCCCGCACCAGTCTCTAGCGATCTTAACCAGCCCTTGCCACCTGGGGAGGAATAGGGTGTATCACGAGGCGAAATATTAATTGTTTTGTTTGGATACAGATTAGATTTTTAGCTTTAATGAATAAGAAAAATATTAGACTGTTACTTCGGATTCCATTTTTCCTCCTGCCAGGGCAGCCAGGATATTTCTCGCAGTGATGCGCGACATTTCCTTGCGTGTTTCGATATCGGCGCTTCCAATATGAGGCAATATGACCACATTATCCAATTTAAGAAGAGGATCATCAAGAGGCAGTGGCTCTGGTGTGGTCACATCCAAGCCGGCAGCTAGAATACGTTTGGAATCTAGTGCTTCATGCAAAGCCTTTTGGTCAACAACCCCACCACGCGCAGTATTTATAAAAATGCAATTGGGTTTCATTTTCTTAAAAGCCCCAGCGTTAAAGATCTCCTTGGTTTCCGGGGTCAAAGCACAGCAGGCCACGATAAAATCGGAGTTTCGCAGCATTTCGTCAAAGTCCACATGACGGCCGTTCACCGCTGCCGCCTCTTGGGGCCGAGCCGTGCGGGTCGTGTAGGTTATCTCTGCTGGCTTGAAAGGAAAAATTCGCGCTGCTATCTCCTGACCAATGCGTCCAAAGCCCAAGAGCCCCACCCGTGACCCCTTCAGGCCCTGACCACACATCCACATGGGCGCCCAGGACTTCCAGCCGCCGTTGTAGACTTGCTTACTCGCCTCAAACAGACGTCGATTGGTAGCCAGCAGTAGCGCGAGCGTCAACTCCGCCGTGGCATCGGTCAGCACATCCGGAGTGAAGCCCACTCGTATGCCACGTTTCCTGCACTCCTCTACGTCGATATGCTCATAGCCCACTGAGATGGTGGACACGCACTTTAGCTGAGAGCCGGCAGCATCCAATACCTCTGCATCGATCTTGTCTGTAAGAGCGCAGTAAACGGCCTCACAACCCGCAACCTCACGAAGCAGTACTTCCCGAGGCACGGGCAGAGCTTCCTTCCATGTGCTTACATTGCAACTGAAAGATAAATAGTCTATTAATTAAATATGAATTTTATCTCAGCAGACTAGTAGACACCTCTTACGCAGCAATTCCAGACCGCTGGCATCAACATCTGGTCGAGTCACATACACTCTTGGTCTTGAGCTCATTGTTCTTGTTCCACGTAATCGTAATACCGGCAACAGCTTTATGCTTTGTGTCAATAGCAATCGTGGTCGCATTAATAAAGAAGTTTGAAAACTACAAAGAGTGCCAACCAAGTAACAGGTTTCAGCCCGGTACAGTGTTGTCAATTAAGCTCTTTTCTCGTCAGATCTAGCTTTTTTCAAAACAAGGAGCGGGGAAAAATTCAAATACAAATTCCTGCTCGCTATCCTCTTATATTCTAGTTACATATGTACATCTAATTGAATGCAATATACCCATAAATTCTTTCAATGCCAGGTGTAAACCTAATTTTGATTTTTTGTCAATCTAGCTGTTTTGTTGATTTATGCTATCTGGCAACACCAAACAAAACATTATCGTGAAACGCCAAACAAAAAATAGCCACCTTGTTGTTACCGGTCGAAAAGTTCTCGATGCATGGCATTCGTGATATTGCAAAGCTGATCAAACGTGTACGTATTATTCCTGTAGCCATTGCCTCCCATCAACGCGGGTTGAATACACGGTCCAGTCGAATGGGGCCGTCTACTCCACCAAAGGAGCTGTCAGCCGAAATGGTCTCACAGCTTGGAAAGCCACCGAGAATGCGTGCGGATCCTGCGTTCAGGAAGGTAGATACTCCCGAGTTCCATGGCATTTTTACTCCGGAAGTGGACTCGTTGCTGTCCCTCTTCAAGAAGTATGACTATGAGATAAGAATTGCCGGCGGAGCGGTCCGCGACATTATAATGGGTATCAAGCCAAAGGACATTGACTTCGCGACCACAGCCACGCCAGATCAGATGAAGGATATGTTTACCAAGGAAAACGTGCGTATGATCAACTCCAAGGGCGAGAAGCATGGAACCATTACTCCGCGGATCAATGGCAAGGAGAACTTCGAAGTGACCACTTTGCGCATCGACGTCCGCACCAATGGCCGACACGCGGACGTCGTTTTCACTACCGACTGGCAACTGGATGCGAACCGTCGTGATTTAACTATAAACTCTATGTTCCTCGGCTTTGATGGTACTGTCTATGACTACTTTTATGGCTACGATGATTTGCAGCAGCGTCGCGTTGTTTTTGTTGGTGATGCTGACATACGAATCAATGAGGACTACTTGCGCATTTTGCGCTACTTTCGCTTTTATGGACGTATAGCAAAAGATGCAGAAAGTCATGATCCCAGCACCTTGGCCGCCATCAAGAAAAACGCTGAAGGTTTGGCAAGGATCAGCGGTGAGCGAATTTGGTCAGAGCTGCAAAAGATAATTGTGGGAAATTACGGAACCGAACTGGTGTTGGAGATGCACCGCTGCAACCTGTTTCAGCATTGTGGGCTTCCTGTTAAGCCCAACTTGAACGAATTTCAAATCCTTTGTGAAACCTTGGAAATTTTTGAGAAGCCCCACTATCCCATTTTGTACATGACGGGGTTGCTTCACTCTGTTGAAGAGGCTATGATGCTGCACGAACGCTTAAAGCTGTCCGCTTTCGAAAGGGATCTGGCTTTGTTTATTACACAGCAGCGAACGAGGGTAAATGCAACGCTCACTCCCGGCTAAAGATATCTTATTAAAATGCTTGTTTTCCAGGTGGACTCGGAGTATACTACCCTACGCGATTATCAAAAACTATGCCTGCAGCCGTACGCCAAGCGGGATTACGTCGAGCAACTTCTCAAGTATACCCGCAAAGTGGAGCTCTACAATCAATTGAAGGCATGGTCAACCCCCAGTTTTCCCCTCAACGGCAATATACTCAAGGATCATGGACTTTCTGGCAAGAATATTGGCACTGGTCTATCACTGTTGCGCCTTATGTGGGCAGATAGCGACTTCCAGCTAACCTCTGGTCAGTTACTGGAGAAGCTTCCACAGATTTTAGAGAAACTACAGCCACCTACAGGTGCACCAAGCAAAAAGAAACGAACTCAGTAACACGATCTGTAATCAAGAATCTAAATTTATTTTCTGTATATAGCTTTACCTAAAATCCTCCTGTTAATGAAGTGCTTTTCTGGAAACTATACAATCACCTTTTATTTGAGCTTATTCCGGTTGGCATCAAAATACTACACTTTTTTAAATATTTGAATGGGTCGCTTGAATCCAGTTTTGCAGTGTTCAGGTATGCCCATTAGCTCCATACTGGCAAAGCCTACCTCTGGACTGAGCAAATATTCAGGGAATTGGTCTGGTCGAAATTTGATGGAATTGTAGTTTTCTCTGATGTTCTCCTAAATGTGAAGTACTTTGAAAGTGAATGATTACCATTTACGATAAATATGCACTCACTTACAGATATTTTTTTACGTCTCCTGTAGCCATCAAAAGATTGAGGCTCTAGGATGAGTTTTCCGTCCGGCCGCAGCTGCAAGAACATGCGGCGGAAAGCCTGCTTCAGGCCAGCATCACAGAAGTTAAGGTGAATCCACTTAGTGACTGAGAGACACAATATCACATCGAACTGGGGGCGCTCTATCTCTAGTAGTACATCGTCATCCAGGACATAGTTGCCATGCAAAAATTTCACATTGTAAGGAAACCTAGACCCTGGAGGCGTCAGGTGCTTCAAGGAGCTAATGGTCATTTGAGCATCCTTCACAAGACCGCGGTCAATATCGAGGCCGACGAGACTCTTGGCATTGAACTTTTTGCAAATTTCAATTGACAGATGCCCTGAATTACAGCCGATGTCGAGCAACTGCTTGTCGCGGAAAAGCTCCGGCTGAGTGCCCAGCACATCCAAGCGTATGTCGTGAAAGTCCTTATCCAGTATGCGCTTCCCGTAGTAGTGCTTGTAGTTGCCATACAAGAAATTAAGATCTTTGTTGCGCTTGGTTCTGTTGTTTTGAGTCTTTCCGTCTAGTTGCAAGCGCTTTTTTGGGCTCTGCGGTGGAGGCCGAGAAGTAGTCTCCACCTCGGAGCAGTCCTCTTTTAGTCTTTTGATTTCCAGTGGCTTGTCATCGAAGGTAGCTTTTCTCTTCTCGGGACACTTTTCTGATGTATTTGCAGGTAGCTGCGTGTTGTTATTGTTTTCCACTTCCATGGTGAAATCTAGTAAGTTTTAAAACATATCCAAATGGTGGTTTTATTTTATTTTTTAGGGTTTAAGTTACCATGCTACCCGTGCGTAGCGTGGGAGTATTTGGCCGCCCGCCTTTTGAAGGTGGAAATTGCCAAGTCAAAGAATTGAAGATGTTGGAGTACTGTTTATAGCTTTACATCAATTTCGTCGATGAAGTCAATTATTGTTTGGTACGCGCTGATGTTTTCTTTTTCAAAGAATTTGTAAATATCATTATACTTTCTTAGAGATGGGAAGTTTTGCCTTGTTGTGGTGTACTTGGTACAATTGAAAATTACATGCGAGTCGTTATCGATACTATCGCATGACGCGGGTTTCGTCGTTTCGGCATCGCAGCTGCGGACTCTGTGGCTCGACTTTTACTGTAAATGCGAAGAAGGTGACATCAGGACTTACTGTTATTCAAAGCCACTGTAGGCAGACGCACAAGGCACTTTTGCTCATACAACAGTAGCATAAGCAAACGAGTATCGTTTCAATTGCTCAATTCTTTATTCCGTCGAATATTACCAGCTATACAGAACATTTAGCCATGCCCACATAATTTTATCCGACTAATGAATCAATTTTCTACCTAACGGGCATATTTTTAATACTTGCTTTTGTTGGATCTTGTCTACAATAAGGTTTTAGCGAAATAGGTCAAACAAAAAAAGGTTTTAGCGAAATAGGTCAAAACACAAAAACGAAAGAGGATGGTCGTTCATATTGCTCAATTTAGAGATTCCGTTGAATGTTTCTGGCTAACTAAAATTCTTAGTTCTGCCCACATAATTTTAGGCCGTTGATAAATACATTTTCTTCATGATTGGCTAGTTTTTAGTCTTTGCTTTTATTGTATTTTGGCTTAAACAAGGCATAAACAAAATAGTTCAACAAACAGAAAACAGTCGCAATGTTGCTGGTATTTGAAACATTATGCGTGTATAGTTTTTGTATACCCTATTTCGTTAATTTAATATGAAGATCCTGTTTTCCGAACTGTTTTTAATCCGAAATTAATACAGAAATTTTCTCAAATTGATATTTTTTAGACATATTTATGCATATGATTTATATCTTGTATATATATATCTCCTTATACCTATTCTTGGTCTCTGTAGGATGACAATAAACTGCAAAAAATCATCGTGATATTTAAAACAGAGACTAAATTGTTTTTGCATTTGTATTTAAAATATATTTCGGTAACAATTTTTTTTGTTTTTTTTTGAATTGATGAAATAAATGTTGTGCACCCCTGAAGTCTAGTGCTGGAAAACGTGTAAGCTTAATATAATTAGTGAGACCAGCTCAACATAAATTTTGGCGCCCAATTCAAATTTGTCTCTTCTTCAATTTAAATTTCAAGTAAATCGAATTTATTTCTTACATTTGCATAACAAAGCAAGCGTATGCGTAAACGTTTATGAATTTGCAATTTTGAATCATGACCATTGTTTGAAATATCCTGGTAGCCGGGGGCGAAGCGTATTCCTGACCAGTAGAGCGCACGCCGCATATTGACCCCGCTCCGCAAAAGGTCGAGCAAAGTATACCAATGATAATTCGGACAGGGCACTGGTATAATGCCGGCAAGGGTTGAATTTTAAATTTTTCATTAGTTGACACACGCATAACATAACAATGATCTGCCAGCGACTCGGGTATGTCCGACATGTGGGTGATTTTTCTAAGAGGGAAGTCTTCTTAAAGAATATGTATATATACGACGCCATTGTTGATGTGGCTTCAACTATGATTTCTAAAATCCTTTTAATTTCCCAACGCCTTCCCAACATACCATTACCCAAAGTGCTCATTAGGCGGCAAGAGATAAATTCTATCAAAATAAATTGTAAATTTTACAGAAAAAGAAAGGGTTTGCACAAGACATTTCCCAGGCAGAACTTGTCCAATGTGAAAGGAAAAATTAAAATAAAATTTCAGTTCAAATTTTGAGACACGGCAAGGCAGGGGAGAGGGTTGGTCTGCCTAGAAACCAGTTTTAGCTACTTTCCTGAACAAAAGGATGCAACATCTATTAAAACTTCAAATGACTTGTTGTTTTTGCCCCTCTGCAGCTTCCGCCCGTCCGCATCGTCCACGTCCCTTGATGGATGGGTCACGCACACACGGACAACTGGCATCCTGAGGCATATGAAATTCAAAACCCGTTTGTCGTGCTCGGCTGCAAGGAACCAAAGCTGCACAGCGTCCACCAGTAATCTGCTGCACATGCGCAGCACTCTGGGCTCGGAGCAAAAGCGAAATTAGAAAGGATTTGTTTGGTCAAATCCATCGGCGGGCATGAAAAAATTTGAATACCCATATGCACGCCGTTGCCCTGTAGGGCGGCGTCGCTAACAAGCGCACCACGCACAGTACCCGGAGTTGACAGCGCGATGGGCAAAGCAATGAGCTGCGGCTGTCCAAGGGTCCGTGGTCCAGCAGCAGGGCCCTGGTAATTCAAGTCGTTCGGGGGTAGCAAAGGGTTGCCCGCGCTATTGTAACTTTATAATTTTGGGTCAGCGTGCTGGTCTACTCCCCATACGAACTCCGAGCCCACCTCCCGCCATCCCTTCAACATCAAACTTTTTCCTTTTCGGCATACAAATGTAGCATCAAATTATTTTGAAAAATCTATGTTCTTGTCGTTGTGTGGCTGCGGCTGCATCTATCGATCATTTGCATATTTACTGTATGAGTGGTCCACTTTTTTTTCTACGAAATATACAGTTTTAGATAAAGGTAGAATGTGTATACCCTAGAAGAGGGTATTATGATTTTGACTAGATTTTTACAACACACAGGAAAGAAGCAACCTCCGACCGCATAAACTATATATCTGCATACTATGAAAGAGTATTTTCTTGATGATCAGAAGACAAACTGAGTCAATATAGCCATGCACGTCTGTCTGATTCTAGAGTCCTCTATCCGTCAGTTCTTAGACTTTCTGGCTAAAACACTATGCAGACCCTAATATTGATACCTTGGAACCGCCAAGACCTGTCAGTGGTCCAGCTTGAACTACATATATCATCTGAATGTATTTCAAAGGATAGAAATTGGTGTTTTATTGTTACCATATTTACCTTAATAAGATAATATTGCATTCCTAATTCCACATATAGTGGTAGGAACATTACCCGTTTTAGTATGAGTACGAGCATATACATACGTTGCCGACTAGTCCGTTTCGGTTTTTCTAATTTTAGGTTGTGCTAAAGTGCAGAACTTTGCATAGTCGAACAGAAGTTGGCGGTTCACCTTTGGGACACTCTCTCATTAATCTGCATGACTATCGGCACTCGATGCCATAAATCCAGCTTAATGCGGCACAAAAACCACAAAACCAGGCCATAGTCAAGGCCGGATACCTCTCCTTAGTCAGCAGTCTTCACGGGTGAACGCATTTAGCAGTTCAAGCTGGCATAACAAAAACCGAAGGCGAACTCTGAACCTACCCCGCAGTCGGGTCAATGAAAAATCGTTTCAGTTTTGAGGCAAAAATCATTAAATTCGTCACAAAAAATAGAAGAAAAGGGGGAAAACTAAGGAAAACTGCCAGGCAAGGGTTGGAGACCTCAGACAGACCTTTGGCAAGGAGTAGACGATCTCCTTTTGTTTGTATTTCACCTCTACGCGTAATTTACTGTGAACCCTGCGAGGATCAGGGATGAGGATGAGGATGAGGATGAAGAAGGCTGATGACTATCTTCGACCCGGTACTGGGTATTGGGGTTGGTGCTGCAGCCTCGGCAAAAGTGACATCATAAGACGTGACACATTTGAACTCGAGATCGGAGCATAGGACCTCTTGCAATACTCTGCACCCTTTGATACCTGGCCTGGGGTTTTCGGTTATTTGATCGCTCGTAAATTTCTTTTCGCTGGGCTACGTTTCATGATCTCAATCGCAATCTTTTGGCGATTTTTGCACTGTGGGAAATTTTTGCGGAAGGAAGCGCGATCATGATCGATGGCTGTATAGAGTTTCAATAGGGTTAAAGGGGCGGCACTCGTTGGTCGCCTGAACGAACCGTCCGGAATGGGGAAAAAGGAAACTTTTTGTGCGCAGAAAGCGAAACCAGAAACTCAAGTTCTTTAATTGTAATTTGTTTTGCAAATGCGCTACATTTCCTCAAATTTCCATTCTGAAGTTTAACCGCTTAATTATTGCCTAAGTGCATTTTCACACCATTTTCCAGGCGTTTTCGGGCGGAAAACCAGTTTTCCTAAATCGTGTTATGGTCTGCGCTTGACCACAGCCCATTTTGACTCTACCGTTTTGATAAATTTTCATTGTTTGTTTGTAGGTTTTCGTGGCGCGTGTCCAAACAAGTTAACCCCTTGACAGCCAGGAGTGACCGCTTGACCAGAGACCGGCACGATTCCTGCTCGACTTGATGTTGTCCGCACATCCTCTGGGCACGAAACCCAAAGCACGTGCGTTTAATTAGGAAGTCGCCTGTGGTCAACTTGTCGGTCAGTGAAGGAAAGGTCTTTAGGATCTCAATAAGGGAAATCATATAATTATAACTAGAGCTACAATAACTATAATGCGAAGATACACGCATAGGTACATACATACATAATATGTACATATGTCTAACTATGTATGTATTTAGGTACTACATAGACCCACTCATGACTGGGATCTCCTGCTGGACTTGCATTCACCTCCCAAGCCCATAGCTATCCACCCTTTTTTTGTTGCCGCTCAGCTCTTTATTTTTGTTGGAAATTGTGTGATTTGAAAAATTTATAAATGCTACATTTTGGCATTGTCACGGCCATCATGGAAAGGGGTAGCTGGGCTCCTATGTACTGAAAGGATAAAGGATGCTGTGCCCTGTCGCCTGACAGCGTGTTCAATTGTTGAGGACATAGAAAAGCGTTACGCGCTCAGATGTTTGCTAAATACAACAAAAAATTGGCTGACTTTCCCGCAGAATTTTTGAAAATCTGTTCAGTGAGAGAGGGATAAAATGCGCAAGAGGGGGGAAAGTGTGGTAGGTTGAAAGAGCGAAGAGAGAGAGAGAGAGAGACGAGACCGCGTTCCCTGCTCTCTTAAATAGAATTGGAAACTCAAAGTCAAAAGTTTTCGCTTTTTCAAGGACATCAACGCATCATTAATATTTGCTTGAACTTTTACGATCATCT